ACTGCAAATCCATCAATGAAACTAGACCATGTTGATAGTCAGTATACACAGTATTGCTGCAAATCCATCGATACAATATAGACCATGTTGATAGTCAGTATACACAGTATTACTGCAAATCCATCAATGAAACTAGACCATGTTGATAGTCAGTATACACAGTATTGCTGCAAATCCATCGATACAATATAGACCATGTTGATAGTCAGTATACACAGTATTACTGCAAATCCATCAATGAAACTAGACCATGTTGATAGTATACTATGTATTGCTGCAAATCCATCGATACAATATAGACTATGTTGATAGTCAGTATACACAGTATTACTGCAAATCCATCAATGAAACTAGACCATGTTCATAGTCAGTATACACAGTATTGCTGCAAATCCATCGATACAATATAGACTATGTTGATAGTCAGTATACACAGTATTACTGCAAATCCATCAATGAAACTAGACCATGTTGATAGTCAGTATACACAGTATTGCTGCAAATCCATCACTACAAACTAGACCATGTTGATAGTCAGTATACACAGTATTACTGCAAATCCATCAATAAAAACTAGGCCATCCCGATAATATTGAATATAGTCTGCATAACTATTGTCCGCGTTTTGAATTTTGTAAACGTAAAAGGCGGAAGTTTAAAAGAAGTAACAGGTTCGATATATAGAGTACAAATGGGCTTCATGCAAGCACCTGTGGTTGGAGAATTGTTCTTGATTTATATGTTGATAAGCCTAATGTTGACATAAAATTGAACCATCTGGTTCATACCGCTTCGTGGTATCACAAACAGCGTTGTTATTCAGATAATTCATCCAGAATTCACATCCTTCTGAAACATGCTCATATTTATGTGTACATATTTCACATAACTGATAGACCCGTTAAGATCCGGGTTAGATTCAATAGTTATTATTCAGCTTGACGTAAGAGGCGACTAATGGGATAGGGTGGTCAGGCTCGCTGACTTGGTTGACACATCGTATCGTATCCCAATTGTGTATATCGATGCTCATGCTGTTGATCACTGGATTGTCTGGTCCAGACTCGATTATTTACAAACTGCCGCCATATAGCTGGAATATTGCTGAATGTTAGGCTACAAAGGTCAGTTTTTGCGGAAAATGGGACTGATATATTACACACGTATTACGCAGAGAGGAATGAAGGACATGCCAGTATGTGAATATCACTGGGGTCCTGGCATGTGTGTATTATGGCGATAGCAGGGCATATTAATAAAGCATTTGCCAGCCTGGATATTCTTATTGCTAGGCGTTGTAATGCGTTGAACCGATGTCGGTGACTCATTCAGACTTGTTCCAGTTTGGGTGGAGCTCAGTGTAGGAAATAATGGGGTGATTACGACAGCGTGTTGTTAATTAGTACTGCTGATATAGTGGCGTGGATTTACTCGGGGTTGTTGCATCAGTTCGGTCACTGTAGTTCGTGTTTGGTGAGTTGAAGTGAGGTGAGGTGAGGAGACTTGAGTAGAGTTGAGTTGAGGTGAGGTGAGGTGAGGAGAGGTAAAGTGTTTTGTGCTGAGGTGAGGTGAGGTGAGGTTAGGAGAGGAGGGGGGAGGTGAAGTGATGTGTATTGTTCTGAGGTGAGGTGAGGTAATGTGTTTTGTGTTGTGGTGAGGTGAGGTGAGGTGAGGCAAGGTGACGTGACGTGTGTTGTGGTGAGGTGAGGTGAGGAGAGGAGGGGAGGTGAAGTGACGTGTGTTGTGGTGAGGTGAGGTGAGGCGAGGTGACGTGACGTGTGTTGTGGTGAGGTGAGGTGAGGTGAGGAGAGGAGAGGGAGAGGTGAGGAGAGGGGAGAGGTGAGAGGTGAAGTAAGGTGAGGGTGAGTAAGGTGAAATATAGTGTTTTGTGCTGAGGTGAGGTGAGGAGAGGAGAGGTGAGGAGATGGGGAGGGTAGAGGCGAGGTGGGGTAAGGTGAGGAGGTAATGTGTTTTGTGAGAGAGAGGTGAGGTGAGGTGAGGTGACGTGTGTTGTCGTGAGGTGAGGTGAGGAGAGGAGGGAGAGGAGAGGTGAGATGGGGGAGGGTAGAGGCCAGGTGGGGTAAGGTGAGGTAATGTGTTCTGTGAGGGGTGAGGGGGTGAGGTGAGGTGAGGAGGAGGGAGAGGAGAGGTGGGTAGGAGAGGCGATGGGGAGGGTAGAGGCGAGGTGGGGTAAGGTGAGGTAATGTGTATTTTGTGAGGGGGTGAGGTGAGGTGAGGTGAGGAGGAGGTGGAGGAGGAGAGGAGAGGAGGGGAGGATGGGGAGGGTAGAGGCGAGGTGGGGTAAGGTGAGGTAATGTGTTTTGTGAGGGGTGAGGTGAGGTGAGGTGAGGAGAGGAGAGGAGAGGTGAGATGGGGAGGGTAGAGGCGAGGTGGGGTAAGGTGAGGTAATGTGTCTTGTGAGGGGATGAGGGGGTGAGGTGAGGAGAGGAGAGGAGAGGTGAGGAGATGGGGAGGGTAGAGGCGAGGTGGGGTAAGGTGAGGTAATGTGTTTTGTGAGGGGTGAGGTGAGGTGAGGTGAGGTGAGGTGAGGTGAGGGAGAGTGGTGGATGGATGGTGAAAGGTGACGTGACGTGACCGTGACGGGAGATGAAATTGGGATTAATACAGGTTTCACAGTACTGGTTCACCGTGATACCATGCTCGATCAATCAATCATTTATTTTCAAATAACCACGGTTGGTGGTACAAGAGCGAATACAAATATTTTATATACAAAAACAAATGAAAAGATAAATAATAATACATAGTATATATAAATACAAAAACATAATACAAGATGGCTGTAACTAGTCTCAGTTTATATTTCTTATAAGGGCTGATACTTTTGATACAAATTTTGATAAATGGATCATTTCTTTAGTGTCATTAGCTGAGAACAATTTAGCAAAATTTTGCAGACTTGGATGTTTTGTTTTGGGGATGATAAATACATTTTCCTAGCAGCTGCAGTTAACATGGATACCACTCTCAGACATTGTCTACCGACTCCGACGTTCCCACTCCATGTTTTATCCCTTCAGTAGGGAACACAACGAATGGTAATAACAGTAGATCTGATACTATGTGCTACTCCGTGTAAACTATACATGTAGTCACGGGTTTCTCAAGAGTGAACAGTGAACCTATTTTCCGGTGTACCCGCCGTATTGATGTACGAATATTGTCTAAAGCAGAGCAAAACCATTCACAATATGCTTCAAGTTGGGTTTTGCATTAACTGAGTGATTGGTATATTCTCTATCTCAAGATCACGGCGATCTGTATTAGTGAGTGTCGGCTGGACAAGTGGAGGAACACATAAGCACCGATCGTTACAGTGCAAGCACGATGGTTTGTCGGTGTTTGTTGGCTCGTTCTTTACCACCGGCTGTGTACACTACCCCAGTTATGTGATCGCAATCATTACATATTCGAGTCAGGTTCAGACAATCCAGTGATTGACATCATGAACATTGATCTACTCAAATACTATATGATAACATGCATAAACTAAGCATCACCCGAGCCTCACCACCCATGAATGAGTGAGTGAGTGAGTTGAGTTTTACGCCGATTTTAGCAATATTCCAGCAATATCATGGCGGGGGACGCCAGAATGGGCTTCACACATTGTACCCATGTGGGGAATCGAACCTGACCACCCATGAAGCCACAGTACTGTTGATATACACTTGAAAAATCAGCTTTGATGACATGAAGAAACAGATCACACTGGGCTTAAAAGTAAAATAGTGAAAAACATTGTATGAATGGATCACTGGAAATAAAAAACAATATCTACGCGTTGGCATTTAGACAGTCATGAAAACTGCTTGATAACGGTGTTAGGATCTACACCGTAAAGTCGCGTCTATTTCAATAAGAGGTAGTCTATCCAGTACTTCATTATACCAGCTTCTAAACGCTACTTAAAGAAGACTTGAAGAGGTTAGTTTGTCTTTAACTTTCATTAATAAAATATTATGTGAAGCACAACTAAAAGCAAGTTTAGCATAATATAACTCTCGCACATGAACTAGGAGAGCTGCATTTGTCATATAAACTTTCAGGATTTCCTGTCCTCGAAGTAGGAAAATTGCTGCAACCTTTCACAATCACATCATAGCTCCTGCTTTTGGCACGTCGGTCCGTCGCTCATCAATTACGTCATCAAGTTAACAAGATGCCAAGACTTAGGGGGAAGGGGTGGGGATGTTACATTGAACGCTTCGGGCAGGCACTCTATCCAAGACCAGGGGGGCGGTGTCAAATATAAATAAAAAAGTGGAAAATAATATACAGCCTCTGAAATATACGCCACTTTGTAACATAACATCATGTATCGATTTCTTGTCAACACATGTAGCATCTGCAGTCACTGGTTCGTGACTGGCGTACACGGCATGTTAATATATATCGATCAAGTCCATCAGAGATAACAACAATGCACTAAGCCATCCGAAACTGCTGCTATCATGTCTTGTTAATATCACATTGTACATGTACACAGATTCAGCTGAAATTGACATGGATGTACATTTCATTCTCTGGCGATACTGAGTGTCCTTTTTATAAACTAGCGTCCTTATTTGATGTTATTTTAATAAGGAAAATAGGAAAGCACGGCAGTCGTATCATACATGCATGGGCTGTACGCCAAATGATTTTGATTCGTTAAACGAATGAAGAATTCTGACCTAATTACATTGGAAATGTCAAGCCTTTATCCAGATGCGTCGTTGTACAAATACTTGTACAGTGTACGTCCGTGCACAGACATAACACAACGTACTATCTTCGAGTATAGAACATCCATAGATCAACAGCAAAGTGTAAACACTGACAAAAACGGTTTCAGCTGAGGCATAACGCGAATCACCGAACTGTACCGATTTGTCCATTGATGTCAACTCGCACTGGGATGTGTTCCCTTATGCTGTTGTGGAAACTACGATATATAGTTTCAGGTAAACTGGTTAGGGGCTGTTGTGATCACTTACCGAAGTACACCTCCTTATTGCAGGTTGGACACTTTCCCATGATGAATCCCTTTGTTCTCGGGGGTAGCGATGCACGGTAGACAGAACCCAGCTCGATTTATCATTTATAAATGCATATCACTCCCGTTTTGCACACGAACCCCAAGTGCCACACTCTCCGCGATTACTGTGATTAGGATTATTGTCATATAGAGTAATTACTCTGATATGTCATTACCGATCACGGTATAGTTTCATTGGTCATTGTGGACATACTTGCATCAATGGTGGTCGAAATGTGAATACAATTTCTTGAACTTCGAAACCAGTTTCTGTTCAAAAGCTCTTGTCAATGGTCATGTACAAATGTCAAGTGGTAACGGTATACTAATTTAAAGGTCAACTGGTTGGTGTTCAATCTGTGCGGTGAAGGTCGCTATTTTGAGCAGATAAAAATACATACGAGGAACTATTAATGACGTTGGTATTTTCCTAACGTAGATCCCTCAGCTCAGCTCTCATTCAGTTAAATCCCTGCTAAAAGAAAAACCAAATACATGGATACAAAAATACAACGATACATATCGAATCATTTCAACTTCATCAACAACAGTACGTGTGGACAATAAACGTGTCCACACTCAAAATGTGCAAATAAATTGGGTCGTTGTTTGTGTATTTCCCTTAAGACAACTCTATTTAACCTGTATCACGGTGGCCTGCAAATATCGGATCTGGTGATTGACATCATGAGAAAGTCTTTACAGCTTTATTGATAGGATGGCACGCAATCAAGCCATCCTCTCCCTCTCATCAGGCTCCTGAGGTCTTCATCTCGCCCAGAAGCCCAACAAGGAAGTCATTATATAATGTGTAGGTGAGAGTTGCGTCCCTTGGACACGCCGGACGTCTGTGATCACGAAATTTCTCAGCACTATCCCCGAGCTCGTGGAAATCTCAACAAATTTAAAAGTCTGATAGCTGCATGAATTCGTTTTATCTCCCACATGACACTGACCGTGGCCGTGATACAACTGGAATGGTGTTGAAAGCTGCGTTAAACCGGACCCTGGCACAAATACACACTACCTCAGTCCACCTCACTACCTGACACATTCTCGAGGTTACCCGTGAATATCCGGGTTAGAATTGGTCTACAGTAACCCATGCCTGCGGTAAGAAGCGACTGGTCAGGTGGTCAGGCTCGCTGACTTGGTTGACACATGTCATCGGTTCCCAATTGCGTAGAACGATGCTCATGCTGTTGATCACTGGATTGTCTGGTCCAGACTCGATTATTTACAGACCGCCGCCATGTAACTGGAATATTGCTGAGTGCGGCGTAAAACTAAACTCACTCACTCACTCACATTCTAGAGGTGAAGTATTAATAACAAAGAATAACGCAAGCCCCATCCACAGCTGTGAATAACTGCCACCTTCCAGTATCGTTTTTCGCCAAAGTCAGCAAAGTTCCAGCTATACCACCGAGGTCAATAGCCCGAATCGTACGATCGACTGATCTGAACAGACGTTTTGCAAACATGGAGAGGGTTTTAATTTTCGTTTCAAACAATTACTAGTTTGTTTTGTAAAGTCCTGAAGATTGGATCAGTGGAGTATTCAGGTAAAACTGAAGAATAAGATCATTGTTGTTCAAGATTCGGGTGATATTCTGATCACGTTGATTACCAAGCTGTGACCACACTATACTGACTCCGTGCCTACCAGCCCTTGTTGCATCCCCTTAGTGCCGAATGCCAGGCGCGGTAACAACTTTTGCCGTAATGCTGGCACGCTTGACCCAGGAACAGGAGGCGTTTGTTTTTATTCCCGACATATCCATAAAGGATTGGTATTTCAGTCGGATAACACAATTAGATGGAATGCTACAAGCTGTCCCACACGTGCAGTCACGTGACGATATAAATGCAATAATCCTGAACTCTAGTTCCTCTCACCTAACCTTAATATGGTTGGATTAAACGTGGCGTTAAACACTCCTCATACATTTAGTCTAATTAACCCTACTCCCACCCCCTCACCCCACCCCACCCCTTCAATTATTGATGAAAATAATCATAATGACTTGTGATCACACACATTGTGAACTGGCCTTGACATTCACACTATAAGACGCCGGATATCATAAGGATAAGGATATATAAGACGACCGATCAGCTTAAATATGTAAAGTGCATGTCGTTACCTCCATGCACTGTGTAAACAGAACCCAGAAGCGACAGCGAACTTTGCGCTGGTCCACTCGTTCAAACACAGTGCACTTGAACAGCGTCGTGCAGAATGTCAACGAAGATGACATTCAACATGTTGATTCACTGGTGCAAACATCAGGTTAACTCGTGGTGTCAATGCAGGAACGTCGAAAGTAGCTGTGTGCTTTCTAAGAAAATGGGCAACTTGTAAGTGAGTCAAAATATTGTGGATGTCAGCTTCTTCTTTCTGGGCTTTTCCTTGCCCCTTCGTCGGGTGAATGTGCAGACAGGACCATATGTCCCACCAGGCAGGGAAACAAAAAGCACCATCTTTTTATCCTTTTTCGGTGTAGCGCCTCGGGACCTACTAACCTCACAGCTCTCTGTCCTCAAGAAGGTTCATGTAATGACGGCTGTGCATGTCCTATGCAGTGCTGCTACTGCTACACTGTCTGGTATTGTGGTGTTGAAACAGCCGAAGGTTCGTGATGACGTCGGTACATTTTGCATCCCCGGTGACGTTAAGAATGCTTTGTGGATCTGGTCCCTGGTCTTCAGCAATCAAAGCTTGTTGTAAGAGGCGACTAAAGGGAACGAATGGTCAGGCCTGCTTTCTTGGTGACACATGTCATCGTATCAGTTGAGTAGGTCGATTCTCGTGACGTCAGTCACTGGATTATCTGACCAGATTAAAATATGTAAAGACATATAGGTCGACTATTGCGGAGTGCGGCGTAAAGCGAAACACAACCGAACTGCTAGACTAACGCTTAGTCTCTGAATATACATATAGCTTTGATTGTAACACATAAACCCAATTTAATTGAAAAGGAGCCCCGGTGAGATGGGAGATTCAGAACCTGGGGAAATCTAGACTTGCTTCATTTAGGGCTTTAGCACTATAGAGAGGGTTAGGCTGTAGGGAAAATAATATGGTTCAGACACTAAGAGACAGACTACCTAACTGGCAACAGACGACTGCAGTGTCACGCAACGACCTCTTCTAGGGTTCGCTATGTTTTTGGGGTGATGTTACTTTCTTGCTCGTTGCTGCGTGTTTGAGAGGTGTGTCCATTTCAGAATAATATATCCATGTTTCAACGCTGCCGCTGTTCTAATGTATTTAATGTGCATTTACAAATGCATATCCCACTCCCCAAGGGTGTATTTGCTTTTAGAAATGTGGCATCAGCTAGACAGGTTAGGCCTGCAAGACCCAGAGTGCTAATGCTCTTTTTAACCAAGTAATTTGAAGAAGTCGTAAACCGACTGTAATGGGAGTGTCCTCGGTTGTTGGGTGGTTGTCGGGTGGTTGTGAGGTGGTTGTTGGGCGAGTACTGGGCGATTGTTGGGCGGGTGGTATACATATATCACACGTGCCGTGGTTGTCCCACATGCAATGTTAACCCACGTGCAGTTGTAAGTGTTAATCTGGTGCTTATCAACGTCTCTAAGGAAAGGACTGTAGACATAATATTTGTCATTGTGAAGTATAGTGTCTATAACCTTTAACCTTATGACATCAAAACGCTTTCAAAGCATTACTCCCCAACTAACACACTGACTTTGAAGCAGCACAGAAACACAACAAAGTGGGGAAATTTGTGGGGTCTTACGTCACCTTCGTAGTGTTCTTGTCGTTACTTAAAACGCTTGGTCCAACGGTCATCCTGAACTTTGTAAAACATAATTGAGAACGATCATATTCAAATCGACATCCATTGTTTTCCACGATTAAAGGACGCCCCTTTCTACCGAAACTTGCTGCGCCTTGGTAAATTTCTTCATTACAACGAGTTTGACATTTCACTCTGTCCATTTGTGTTATACATTTTTTGTATACTGAGAGGAAAAAATAAGGGATCACACGAAAGGACAAGTGTTCCTTTATATTTTCCAGGTTTCTTCACAGGCTTTGTATCGCATAGCTTGTGAAGAAAGCTGGAAAAAAATAAGGGAACACTTGTGCTTTCATGTGATCCCATATTGTTTTCCCTCAGTATATCTTTCTAAGAATATAATTTCGTAATTCTCCTGGTTATCAAGAGCCAGGCTGCAGTCGCGGTGCAAACAAATAAAGAACACCCATGGGATCCGTGCTGATAACATCTATTGATAACATCAGCGAGGAAATCTGAGTTAAAATCTTGTCATCAAGGCGACCAAATGTATGGGGACGTCAGGCGAACTCTATCCCTGTCATGAAAATTCATGATAACAATGAAGTAATTTTTAGAATCTTTAATTTAGAATGACAGCTCGAAAACCGATTTGTACCAGTTAGGTCAAATGATACAAATTTCTAATTTTCATCGTATAGAAACATACTAAGGCGAATTTAATCGCTATAAACCTGTGACAAAAGCTAGACAAAAGAATCATCGCCCGTTCGTGACCATCGATACATTGACCAAACACAGCCACAGAAATTAGTGGGCTCCTGAACCGTATTATCGCCCATCCAAGTTTCAGTTTTGCAAAATAAGAATATTCCAAATGTATAACAGACTATGCCCTGTGGTCTCGCATGCATGGTGACTCCAATAAAAGTTTGTCAGAGGATACATGTATCTCGAACAGTGCTGCAAACCGTGCTGGGGGTGTGATTGTACGTGGTGTGTGTGTGTGTGTGTGTTTTGTGGGGTGAGGTGTGTAGTGGTGGTAGTGTTTGTATAGTGGTGGTGTGTGTTTAGTATTGGTGATAGTGTGAGTAGTGGTGGTGGTAGTGGTGGTGGTAGTGTGTCTAGTACTGGTGATAGTGTGTGTAGTGGTGGTAGTGGTGTGTAGTGGAGATAGTGTGTGTAGTGGTGGTGATAGTGTGTGTGGTGGTGGTGATAGTGTGTGTAGTGGTGGTGATAGTGTGTGTAGTGGTGGTGATAGTGTGTGTAGTGGTGGTGGTAGTGTGTGTAGTGGTGGTGATAGTGTGTGTAGTGGTGGTGGTAGTGTGTGTAGTGGTGGTGATAGTGTGTGTAGTGGTGGTGATAGTGTGTGTAGTGGAGATAGTGTGTGTAGTGGTGGTGGTCTGTAGTGGAGATAGTGTGTGTAGTGGAAGTAGTGTGTATTGGAAGTAGTGTGTGGTGTGTTTAGTGATGGTGGTGTAGTGGTAGTGGTGGTAGTGTGTACTGGAAGTAGTGTGTGCATTGGAAATAGTGTGTGCATTGGAAGTAGTGTGCAGTGTGGTGTAGTGTGTGTAGTAGTAGTGTGTGTTAGTAGTGTGTAGTGGAAGTAGTGTGTGTAGTGGAAGTAGTGGTGTGTGTGTTTAGTGGTGATAGTGTGTGTGTGGTGTGTTTGTGTGGGAGATAGTGTGTGTATTGGTGGTGGTGGTGTGTAGTGGAGATAGTGTGTGTGTGGTGGAAGTAGTGTGTGTGTGTATTGGAAGTGGTGTGTGGTGTGTTGTAGTGTGTGATTGGAAGCAGTGTGTGTGTAGTGGTGGTGGTGTGTAGTGGAGGTAGTGTGTGTATTGGAAGTAGTGTGTGTATTAGTGGTGGTGCGTGTGGTGGCAGCGTGTTCAGTGAGAGAATCGCGTGTTGTGGAAGTAGTCTCTGTAGCGGAAGCAGATCTGTGTGCAGATAATTTCGTTTTCAATAAAGTGTACACCAACGGTTGCTGTAGATACGTGTAGTGTTCTGTGCAGACATAACTTTACAATCTTGTACTTGACGTAGAAACAGATGCGTTATAATTGATACTTAAAATGTATGAAGGAAGATGATTTAAACCAACCAATGTAAAATCGACTTCTAGTCTTTACAAGGTGAACCATGGAGAGACTGCAAGCATGACCATATAACTGTAAATATGCTGGAATCAAACCAGCGTCTTACGCCTGAGGAAACAAACCCCTCTTAAAATGTGCCAAGTTATCACGAATCTTGTGCCAAGTTATCACGAATTGTCGACTCGCAATAAATGCATTGTAGCAGCCAAATTTTGTGTCTTGATCATTCAGGTTATCAATTGGGATGATTTAACACTGTGTTATTTGATGAGTTTCCATCAAGCAGAGCTCTCTGTGTTTGGTACGAGTTGAACTGAGAATAGACACAAAATTCGATGAGAATATTAGCTTTATTCTGACAAATGTCTCTTTCAAACAAAGAAATATATAATTTGAAAATTTAAACATGGAAACATAACGTATGTCAGGTCATTGTACACAAACATGATTTAATTTGTAACAATTAAAACGTGACAGTAGCGAATAATATATAACAGTCTTTAAGACCTAAACTTTCTCTTTTACCGACAAGGACGCCACAAACATGTAATTGCATCGTGATATTGCTGTCGTTATTGTAAAGATTTTCTGGGGGTAAAAATATAATGTAAAGTATAAGTCTGTAAATTCTAATATGCATTGGATGTAGAGTTAGCTACACGACAGACTTTACTATTGGGTAAAGTGTGAAGTAATGTTAGTATTGATATCTCTCAGTCGTACTGAGCGCTGCCAGCCGTTCCAGATCCACTCCTGACACCTGAAAGAGAGGAAGTGGTCACGCGTGAGCAAGATGATGTAATACGATAAATACTCAACACATACTTTCTCATATTTTTTTCAAAACTAATAACCATATAATATCATAATATTTGTAATTTGTAACCAGAATGCATTAAAATACGGTTATGACGAACTCAAAGGGACCACTAAAAGTTTAGCTCGCTTTAAGCGCAGTTCGTCATACGCATTTCGTCTAAAATGTAAAGCAGTTGGCTATGACTGATAATATATCGTTATATCCACCAGATGGTTATAGGCGTGTTTATGTTTAGTTTACTGCATGTATACACAAATGTAATGCTCCGTGTATTCCATTTCAGGTTGTGATATAATAGTATTAATACGAAGAAAAAGTAATCAACTTCTGTGAGCAAGAACGCTATCTTAAAAAGCTTAAAGAAGCTGAACTGAGGTCTTACCTCCTGGTCCGAACAGCGCTGCATAACAGGGGTTAGCACAATATAATTTGCCGGCATGCTGAAAGTGAAATACAGATATGTCAATAAGGATATCTCACTGTTGAATATTAGCCCATAAAAGGTTATACAAATTGGTTCTCGTCGGCCTGCGGGTCGTTAAGACCGGCAGTATGGCGACCATCCGTGCAATGTGTCTCCGTAAAGAATACGGTATCAGTTTAAGCTCCCTCAAAGTCAGTATATAGTTATCCTTGAATACGCATGTAATTTAGAAAGTGGTCAAATGTAACTTATGTTATAATTACTAAGAAAGTGTAATCCTAACTATAGGATATGATACATAAGTATATATCCTTGCCTGACCCGTTTACTCATTATTACTGACAAAAGGCACCGTAAACAATGTTTTTTTATATCGAGCATTCTGTACAATGTGTCCGAAATGACGTATATGGTCTTTGTATGAGCTCTTTAAAGATTAACAGTTTTCTGCCTGCTTGAACCTTATTGCCATTGTGAACGAGAGTTACATATTTTACTAACTCAGTAACAGAAAAATGCCAAATACCCAGATCATTATAAGGGGCTTTAGATCACGATCTTTTATTCTTATGTTCCCGAGGATCCCTCAAGGCACATGCATATGCCATGTGGTCGGTGGTACAGCATCTGCCTGCTTTAAACAGTGTAACCCCGTTAATATAGACTGCATGAGATAATATAAACAGGCGCTTTCTTTTGTCATTTAAAGTGAGTGAGTGAGTTTGGTATAACGCCGCCTTCAGCAATATTCCAGCAATATCACGGCGGGAGACACCAGAAATAGGCTTCACATATTGTACCCATGTGGGGACTCGAACCCGGGTCTTCGGCGTGTCGAGCGAACACCACCCCCCCCCCCTCCTCTTTGAAAATTCCTGGATCCGCCTATGTAATGAGTAGGCCACAGCGACACCAACGTGTAAATGTTGTTTGTTGACTAACGCCACGCCCTTCAATTATCCAGTACCATAATGGCAATCTGCATCTGATCCGGACCGAGCAAGCCAGTGATTAACATCATGAGCAAAGATCCACGTCTACAGAGACGTGGCAATATCACATTCAGACTTTAAGGTAAAGTGTTAAAGAACAAAGTTTATCATAGGCAAAGTCACATTACGTACCTCGTTCCCATTGCCAGCAGCAAGCGTCTTCTTGCAGCGTTCACATCTGTGGCAGGCCCTGTGGTACTCCTTCCCGTTGGATACCATCTTCTCAGCTGTAAACAGTACGTATATCTTTCATTATAATTACCGGACTGTTCAGGGACCATATAATAACACATTATATATTGATTCCTACAGAAGGGTGATGGTATCTGTGGCAGGCCCTGTGGTACTCCTTCCCGTTGGATACCATCTTCTCAGCTGTAAACAGTACGTATATCTTTCATTATAATTTCACCATATACTGTTCAGAAGGGTGACCATATAATATACCATCTTCTCAGCTGTAAACAGTACGTATATCTTTCATTATAATTACCAGACTGTTCAGGGACCATATAATAACACATTATATATTGATTCCTACAGAAGGGTGATGGTATCTGTGGCAGGCCCTGTGGTACTCCTTCCCGTTGGATACCATCTTCTCAGCTGTAAACAGTACGTATATCTTTCATTATAATTACCAGACTGTTCAGGGACCATATAATAACACATTATATATTGATTCCTACAGAAGGGTGATGATTTGAGACTCTACAACGCTACGTCCGAAGGGTACAAAAGGTCGCTAGATGACAAAGCAATTGGTAATATGTGTAAGTACATTTACTATGTACAGTCATAGACCGAAACTTATGTTGAGATAAGGCAACACGAGTTACCTCCACTTACTTGTAATACGGAATACATACTCATCTCTTAACGACAAACTGATATACACGTCGTTCTCCTGTATACTGACACTGGTGTTATGCTACAGATGTTAAAGTTATTGTGACAATAATACATGATTACTACATAATGAATTATGGCACTTCATATAAGTAAGTCCATGGACCCTAGTATGGTGATCTACCTTCAGTTGTTGGTGATCTATAGCCTATTTTTATATTGTGTTGTCCCCTATAGTTAAAATGTTTTAGATTCAATTACTTATTTTAAATGTATATCTGTGATACTCTAGTTGCTTTACTGTCCTTTGTCGGCAGGTTTTTATACTATCTATATATATTTTATTTTAATGTCAAGTGTTCTCGTCACGATATGGCTGAAATATTGCCGATGTGACGTTAAATAATAACTCACTCACTCACTCATGTAAGTAAGTACATGGTAAGTGGTAAGAAGAGAGCTGCGATTTGACATCTCAGTACAATAAAGTACTGTGAATATGTGTCCCAGTCCTCCCAGCTGCGAACGGGTACCTCGTAAGGATGGGAAAACCACATAAACTTGGTGCGCCCGAGATGAGATTGAAAAAGCGCTTTGAGCATGCATTTAGATGGGATGGACTTTAGCACTATAGAAACACCCATATGATAATAACAGTACTTTTAAATACTGTGAGCTCTATACTTATCGATGTTTTGATACAGTTAACTAACAACATACATGCAATCCATTGAATCCAATATAATATTCTGTTCAAAACGAACACAGTTAATGAGTGGCTTCGGTTTTACACAGCTTCAGACAAAACAGTATTCTACAAACATCATCGCAGTTATGCGGGGATTCGAATCCGGATCTTCGAAGAGATGAACCAGCGCTTGGTAATGACTTTAAGCAGGGATACTCTACCTTATATAGTCTCCCTGCTTTATTTAAGCAAGCAATCCTTCTGCAGGGATGGTTGTAAGCGGTGTGTGTGTGTGTGTGTGTGTGTGTGTGTGTGTGTGTGTGTGTGTGTGTGTGTGTGTGTGTGTGTGTGTGTGTGTGTTTTACTCTAACAATTGTTTAAATATCCACCTTTGGAGTGTCTGTGTGTGGCTATATTTGAATCGCTGATTTGTAATTAGTAACATTTGTTGTTATTCTTTACCACAATCAGTTATCTCCCTTCTTCTTAAGCGGTATGAGACAGTGTGCATCTCCTGGGTTATTGGACATTTTCAGGTTGGTTTTCGAGGGATCATCAATATCTGAAGTTGGCGTGTATTTACACAAACTAAGAGACATATTTGCGAGAAAACATATTGACCCGCACATTTTCTTTATGCAGTTGTTTTTAGCTTTCGATTCCTTAAAAAATGACATAGACTGTCCACGTCCCCAGAATACCCCTTCAAGAATTCTTTGACTATATATCGCGCAAAATACATATGTCCAACTAGCTGTGTACTAGAATCTGTACTATTCTGAGAAAGGGTAATCCCATATATAACATATGTTACATTTGACCACTTTCTAAATGGCATTGTGTGATCATAGCTTTCGGTCGTGGGAGCCAAATAACACTTATCAGAGGGGTACACAAAGCCCGCAGTGTAGACTATCAGTTGTCCAATTGTGTATAAGTCGCGGCGGCTGAGCGGGATAGGCGGCTGACTTTATGTGCTGGTGATTAGGTGCCTGACCGAGTGTGTGGGTTCTAATCCCGGATGGGATTCAACCCCCCAAAAGTACTAAAATCTGTACTTTTTTTAAGAAAGTGCAATCCCAAATATAGCATATGTGTCGTGTCAAGCATGGGGTCATACTCTCCTTAACCTGAAAGGTTGAGTTGTTGGGCAGGTGACATATATCTATCACACACTCATTGATCAAGAGTACCCGGAGAGTCATATTAACCCACATGCAAGTGCAGCCATGGGGGCGGGGAGACACGCTGTGTATATGCACTATATGAGTGGCGCTATCTCGTCAATCCTGCCGCCCCTTATCAGCCTATTTCCCCCTGTAAGCCCGATAGTAGTCTGTCTCACAGTCCCTGAACCACATTAATTTCCCTACTGCCAAGCCCTCTCTGCAGTGCTAAAGCCCTAAATAAAGCAAGTCTAGATTTCCTCAGGTTCAGGAATCTCTGGTCTCCCTAGGGCTCCTTTTCAATATAAATGGGCTTGTTTGTTACTATCCAAATTATATATATTCAGAGACTAAGCCTTAGTCTAGCCCGATAGGTATCAGCGTTTCATATTTAGATAGTATTGAGTGCTTGTCCAACCATTTTAGCAACAATCATGTGTAAGCCCGGACTATTTTTTATAATGGTAGCTACGCTCCTGCTTATCAACATCTACAGCCAACATAAGCAGGCCGGGCCCCGTCTCCTACAGGTCCTTGGTCATACTGACTTCAAGGCTGTTTGGTCAGTCTCACAGTCCCTGAACCACATTATTTTCACTACTGATTAACCCTCCCTGCAATGCTACAGCCCTGAATGAAGAAAGTATAGATTACCTCAGGTTCTGAATCCCTGGTCTCCCCAGGGCTCCTTTTCAATTTAAATGGGCCTGTTTGTTACTATTAAAATTATATATATTCAGAGAGTAAGCGCTAGTCTAACGGGTTTTTTTAAATGTGATCATATGGAAATAAAGCATTACGAATATGAAAATAAACAGGGGAACAAATTAAGATATATTAAAGACTTGACTTGCGATGCAAAAGTATACACCCATGTTTGAAGGTGGCTAAACAAATTTCATGAAACATTGTCTGTGGGGACGAGCGTTCCAAGCACTCCCTTGTGCGTGGATACAACAACTGAAGCTATTCTACACGGCAATGTTTGACGTAAGCCCCGCAGTCTGCCGAGCCTGTTTATTTGTATACATAGGGGTTCCGACAAGGAAACCGGAGCTATTTCACTCCGCATGAGATTATCAAGAGAGCCAGGATGCATCCAGAACAGAGCAGAGGAAATACATTCTGTAACGTGATGCGTTGTAGCTAAATAACCAATCGGGTAATTGGAAGTGTTCATCTTGCAGAGTGCGCTGGGGAATTCGGAAGTCAGTGTCCAGTGTAGGTTCATATAGGGTCGAATTTGCTATGTTAGAGTGTATTTTCAAGTGTAGATTTTCAAGTTAACTTTGACATTTTTCAATATTATTTATAGTGTTTCAGTTTGTTGGAAACAAGCCCACTTTGACACGCATTAGAGCTATAAAACTTGAAACCCACGAGCTGACGAAAGATTAGCGAGAGTCTGAGATCCCCGGTCATCGGATCCTGACACGACAAGGGGCACAATTTGTACAGGAACTGCAGACCATGAGCCATCCGTGCTGCAGTCATGTTTGGTTGAGGTTGAGATGGATATGATAATAGTCCTCGGTGGAGCAGGCGATGGTGTGGCAGTCACAGTTGCAGTACATGCATAAAACAGTGATAGTGACAAGGCTTATACTGTATCGGCACATAGGTGAGTGAGTATGGTTTTACGCCGCTTTTAGCAATATTCCAGCAATATCACGGCGGGGGACACCAGAAATGGGCTTCACACATTGTACCCATGTGGGGAATCGAACCCGGGTCTTGAGCGTGACGAGGGAAGGTTTTAACCATTTGACTACCCCACCGCCCCCGGCAGAGAGACACTGAAACAATTCACAGTGGTAGACACACAGAGTGAGAGAGTGTGGTTAACGCCGGTTTGACGAGTATAGTGTTATATCATGACGTGTCAGCTCGGTGCTGAAGGAAAGTCCGGATCCCTGTGGTGAAACCCATGGGTAGGGTGCTGACAAACCTATAAACATAATCGGGGATAACTATACACAAAGAACTTAGTTGAGCACCCGTTGACATATCTCACGATTGAATGAGCCCTGATCTTAACCCTTTGGAGCATATCTGGGACATGATAGGCCGTCGTTTGCAACAAGGGGATCTCCTTTACAGAACCTGCAGCTATCATCATAAAATCAACATGGATTCAAATCATTTTGTCGTTTTTTAAGAGAAAACTCGTTTTTTAAGAGAAAACTCATGTTGTCCCATCATGTTCACCACAAGAGGTTTTATGTACGTGTTGAAAACCTATCATTGCAAAAATACAGGGGGTGTTTAATTAAGTTCTTTCTGTAGAGTAGTTGAGCCACTGTTGCAAGAATCTGGCCTGCCCAGGGGAAGCAACTCTGCACAACTTGTTCTAGCACCATATTGGCGAACTGACTCTTCCTAAGGTGAGGTGAGGTGAAATTGGGTTTTACGTCGTGCTTGAGAATATTTCGCTCATATGACGACGTGCATGCGTGTGTATGTGTATGTGCGGCTGTTTATACTAGCCCAGACTTAAGCTGGTTTTACAGTGCTAGCCCACTGGGATACCATGC